ATCAGGCAAAACTGTAGCTGAGAAGATTTTTTATGACTTCATTGCACGCTTTGGCTACCCTGAAAAGTTACATCACGACCAGGGAAAAGAGTTTGAGAACAATCTGTTCCACCGACTCCAACAGCTAGCAGGAATAAACCATTCTCGAACAACCCCATATCATACACAGGGGAACCCAGTTGAACGTCTAAACTGAACTCTTCTTCAGATGCTCCGCACCCTGCATGAGGAAAAAAATCTGAGTGGAAAGACTACCTACCACACATAGTTCATGCATACAATTGTACTAAACATGAGGCTACAGGTTACTCACCTTTTTCTTGTGTATGGCAGAGATCCCCATTTGCCAATTGATTTGCTTTTTGATTTAAAATCTGAAGCGAAGCAACATTCCAGACATGAGTATGCACAAAAATGGGCTTCACAGATGCAGGAGGCATATAAAATTTCCTCAGAGAATAGTGAAAAATTCTCTGCAAAAGGGAAACAGTATTATGATCGACATATTAAAGGTGTTGCATTACAACTAGGAGATCAGGCTCTTGTAAGAAATCTATGAGAGACGTGGTCAAGGCAAACTGCTTATTGGGAGAAAAGTATTCATCGAGTTGTTGAGAGGATTGGTGATGGGCCTATCTACCGTGTGCAACCAGAAACTGGAAACCAAATCTTCCGTGTTTTACATAGGAATCTACTACTACCTGTTAATGAATTGCCCTTGGAACAAGATGAACAAATTAAATGCTCAAACTAAACAAGAAAACAAAGCGAATGCCAGGATCATGACAATCTGAGAGTTGAACAGAACTCTGATAACTCTGATGAGGAAAAGGAGTACAGCTATGTCCTCAGAACTATTCCTGTTTATGAAAGGAGGAACGTTAGCACCCATACTCCTCAGCCAAATGTCTACAGTAATCTCAGAGCCGTAGCTTCAAAGTTTCAAATGGCAGACCTCCTGCCATTACCACAAATGTCAATACAACTACCTGAACTAATTACCTTGACCAGAGCAAGGTCCAGCTCCCTTGGCCACTGTGTGTTCAACAACGGGACCACAACCATGGGCTCCGTTCCATGAAATTTGTGTGAAAAGGTGCTCACTTTCTGTGACTACACACCCAAGTTTTAAAAATGTTTTTCTTGTGTGACAAGCAAGAACACCACTGGCGACTGTACCCCATACCAGGACCCGAAATGCGGACGCTATCTCCAACGCCACATATTCAACATCAACTGACAGACAAAAGGACGTCAAAACACCACTGGCTGCAGTGCCACCGTGCCAGGAGACAGAGGCTCCAGAATTCTGGCTGACTAGTACTTCCTGTGTGGCCACAGAGTTTACACTGCACTACCACCACACGGGGGGGGGGGGGGGGGGCTTTGGTCCCCCTATCTAGCCCCGTAATGCTCCTCAGAAAAGCCTCTACACCACTGACCAGGAAGAAACGTTCACCGATGCCCAAAGTGCACCGACAGGGATGCCTCACCACGAGCACCGGCACCCCCATCGGAATACAGGATCTGGAATGGAGGTGAAAAAGTCTTTCAAGGCCTATTCCCATGGGTGGGAACTGCAGAAGTTCAACAACATGCCAAAATCACCCGTTATGCACTTCTACGCCTCATCAACGACACCTACAGACTGACAAATGGAACAACAACGGAATTGACTGCAATGAGAGACATGATCATCCAGAACCGCGTCATCTTGAACCTGCTCACCGCCTCACAAGGAGGGAGGGGTATGTAAGATTATAGGAACCATATGCTGCACCTACATCCCAGATGAAACTGGAATTGGTGGAGACATCCATGATACCCTGAATGACCTAGAACTGCTGAAACGGTACGTGGACAGTACATCAGGAGCACAACCCTTTGAACTTCTTTCATGGCTCACGTCTGGACCATGGTGGCATCTGCTGCTGAAGATTTGCACCCCCATCCTGGTAGTACTCGTCCTCTTTTGCACTTTCACCACGTGTCCTCCCACTTTTGAAAACAATGACGAAAGCATTTACAGGTGTTTTAATCAGCCTTCACCTGTCAAAGTTAAACCAAGAAAATTACACTCCACTGACACGATCAGAGTATGATGATGCTACATAAAAGAGATGCATTGTGATTCTTGTACAGAAATTGTGTTCCACGAATAAGTACAAAGATGTTTTTGCTCCTGGGCCAGCTATGTTCTCTCCTGTATTACAAAATTCCTACTTGTTGTCATTATTCTGAAAAGCAAACACATTCAGATGCTTTGTCATATGTATTGTCGAGGAAAATTAACACAACTCAGACTTTTCAGCCTATTCACCTGTTTCTCTCATTGGTTCAGAGATACATGGCAAAAATACACAATAATCAGTCAGAGAGATTCAAGTTAAAAAGTATTACCAACATTTATTAAAGCTTTCAGCTGAAAGGAGACGCTCTTACCCCAAACCAACAGAGACAGAAAAAACCAAGACACGTCTGACTGGAGCTTCAGCATCTCCGGTATTTAAACACAAAAGCTCCACCCAGAGACGTGTCACACATTCTTTCAGTTCTTTGTCTAAACTAGTTCAAACTGATGTCTTCATTTCCTGGAAGTCCTTTTATGGAGTTGTTTTATTATTTTCTTCTGCCGTTCCAGTTTACTGGTGATCTTGTCATCAGGTGGGACACACACCAGCAGCTCCCTGTTAGTTCATGTCCTGTACACAAAAAACTTAAATACATTCTCTGACTTAGTTCACTCTGTACTTGTTGATACCAAAAGCCAAGCAGATACAGATAAAGGACAAGATACAGTTGTGATACATCGAGCAATACAGCACAGCAGACAAGAGCGTCTTTACAGTATCAATTTATTTTCATCATTTCAAGTTAATCACTCTTTCCCGTTTTTTTTTTCTTCAGAAAAGCAATGTTTATTAGCTAAAGTTTAATCCTTCACAATTTGAATTTACCTTTAGTGAGGGTTAAGTTTCTACTTTCAAAAGCTTTTAAAACCCTTGCTGTTTTCATTTTTTAAAGGTTTAATAATGATTCATTCTCACAAGTTTAACAGGACATTTAATCAATCTCAAACATGTGAAGCAAATCATTTTTTCACCCTTCATTATTTTTTTTCTTTCAATTTTATTTTTATGATTTAAAGTTCTGTAGGAATGTGTGTTAATTTTTTTTTCTTTTTATGATTTCAATGAGTTTAAACTGATAAACAGGAGGGAAATGTAAGAGTTTTTCATTTATCATTTTTAAACTGCTTCATGATTTCTGTACTTCTATGCATACAAAGCAAAGAAGTTTCTGGAACTATCAGTCCACGTCCGAGCTGATAGTAATTCTCTGTATTTATATAAGCTGTCTTTACTTAGAACTGTTTGTTAAAAACCAAACATGTCAAAGTTTAAACGTATCAACTAGTATTCCAGCTATCTTGCACTGTCATTGTTTTACTCCTCACCCTTAAACTGATACAGATGGTATCAGAAACTCATTACAATAAGCATTTAATCAACTGAACCTATACAAGATGTTTTGTTCTGATCAAAGAGTGTTCCAAGCCAAACACTTATTGATGTAAAACTGATGTGTCACTCTGACCAAATAAAAAGTCAGTTCTAACAGCAAGGCTTTGGAGTTCACCTCTGGTTTCAGACCAGAGGTGGATGTCCCTCCTTGCAAAGAGCATTGGTCAAAAATCTTACTCTGTCCTGTGTGGTTCTTTTTCTGTTGGGTACGAGAGAAAATACCTAACAGAGGCCTCCATGTTCAACTGTCCACCTCTTACAATGCTGTTATGGCTAATATCACTCAACCCCCTGTGAATAGCAAACAGCCATCAGGGTGCTAATGATCTATCTCCTCCCTGATTATGTGAGCAGCTGGTTTTGGCTGTGGGCAGCACGGTGGCGCAACTGGTAGAACTGCTGCCTCTCAGCAAGCAGGTCCTTGGTTCAAACCCTGGTCCAGGGGCCTTCTGGGTGGAGTTTGCATGTTCTCTCCGTGTATGCGTGGGTTTTCTCCGGGTGCTTCGGTTTCCTCCCACAGACCAAAAAACATGCATGTTAGGCTGATTGGTAACTCTAAATTGTCCCTAGGTGTGAGTGAGAGAGTGAATGGTTGTTTGTCTCTATGTGGCCCTGTGATGGACTTGCGACCCGTCCAGGGTGTACCCCGCCCCTCGCACAGTGATTGCTGGACATGGGCACCGGCGACCCCCGTGACCCAAAACGGAATAAACGGGTAAAGATAATGGATGGATGGATGGTTTTGGCTGTCAGCAGCAAACTGGTTGATCCACTATGAGAAGGTGCTATTTAAGAGACTGAGCTGAATACAGCACCTCAGACTGAAGAAGTCTTTCAGATGAAAGACAAAAGGTTTCTACTTTTTTTTTTGAATGTCTAGGGGACCAAACTTAACTTTTTTAGATTTTTCTACCAGGATTATTGAGCATGCATCAGGATACTTGAAATATACTGACCTTTGATTTATTGCAGTCTAAGCAGTTTGAGGTAAACTGATATTGCGGTGACAATAAATTTATTCTTTACTTTTAAAACACATTTTTATTTTATTTAATTGTTGGTTGGAGTTTTGCTGATGACGCTGGGCCTGAGGACCAAACTTTGTCATTGAGGCCAAAGTTGTGGATATGGAAACGAAAACAACACAAGCAAACCAAACAGAACTTTTAAAATCAGGAGTACAGATTTATTCTGAAGATATTGTCAGATTACGCCCCCCCCAATCAACATCTGGGTCAAGTTCCAGTCTCCTTTTAGCAGACTCTAAACAGTAAACTGTTGCTACAAATATTTAAAAAAAATTATGGATTATCTAATAATAGATACATTTTTAATACCATTATTCTCAACTTGCATAAAGCCGCAGTTTAGATTAGTCTTATATGTGATCATAAAGAACAATTTAAAGACACATCAAACTGAAACAAAACGAGTAAAGACAAGGAAACAGTTTATTTCCATATAAAAACAGCTGTATAACTAACACAAACACGATTTCTTTGATTACAGACTCAGTGATCAAAACTTTCATAAACTTCAAATCTGTACTGGATCCCGTTCTCTTCCTGAAGATCCCGAGGAACTCCTGGAAATCTGCAGGAGAAACAAGATTTGCAGTCAATTTACAGGTCCTTCTCAAAAAATTAGCATATTGTGATAAAGGTCATTATTTTCCATAATGTGATGATAAAAATGAAACGTTCATATATTTCAGATTCATTGCACACCAACTGAAATATTTCAGGTCTTTAATTGTTTTAATACTGATGATTATGGCATACAGCTCATGAAAACCCAAAATGCCTGTCCCAAAAAATTAGCATATCATGAAAAGGTTCTCTAAACAAGCTATTAACCTAACCATCTGAATCAACGACGTAACTCTAAACACCTGCAAAAGATTCCTGAGGCTTTTAAAAACTCCCAGCCTTGTTCATTACTCAAAACCGCAATCATGGGTAAGACTGCCGACCTGACTGCTGTCCAGAAGGCCATCATTGACACCCTCAAGCAAGAGGGTAAGACACAAAGAAATTGCTGAACGAATAGGCTGTTCCCAGAGTGCTGTATCAAGGCACCTCAGTGGGAAGTCTGTGGGAAGGGAAAAGTGTGGCAGAAAACGCTGCACAACGAGAAGAGGTGACCGGACCCTGAAGAGGATTGTGGAGAAGGGCCGATTCCAGACCTTGGGGGACCTGCGGAAGCAGTGGACTGAGTCTGGAGTAGAAACATCCAGAGCCACCGTGCACAGGCGTGTGCAGGAAATGGGCTACAGGTGCCGCATTCCCCAGGTCAAGCCACTTTTGAATCAGAAATAGCGGCAGAAGCGCCTGACCTGGGCTACAGAGAAGCAGCACTGGACTGTTGCTCAGTGGTCCAAAGTACTTTTTTCGGATGAAAGCAAATTTTGCATGTCATTCGGAAATCAAGGTGCCAGAGTCTGGAGGAAGACTGGGGAGAAGGAAATGCCAAAATGCCAGAAGTCCAGTGTGAAGCACCCACAGTCAGTGATGGTCTGGGGTGTCATGTCAGCTGCTGGTGTTGGTCCACTGTTCTATCAAGGGCAGGGTCAATGCAGGTAGCTATCAGGAGATTTCGGAGCACTTCATGCTTCCATCTGCTGAAAAGCTTTATGGAGATGAAGATTTCATTTTTCAGCATGACCTGGCACCTGCTCACAGTGCCAAAACCACTGGTAAATGGTTTACTGACCATGGTATTACTGTGCTCAATTGGCCTGCCAACTCTCCTGACCTGAACCCCATAGAGAACTTGCGGGATATTGTGAAGAGAAAGTTGAGAGACACAAGACCCAACACTCTGGATGAGCTTAAGGCCGCTATCGAAGCATCCTGGGCCTCCATAACACCTCAGCAGTGCCACAGGCTGATTGCCTCCATGCCACGCCGCATTGAAGCAGTCATTCATGCAAAAGGATTCCCGACCAAGTATTGAGTGCATAACTGAACATGATTATTTGAAGGTTGGCGTTTTTTGTACTAAAAACACTTGTCTTTCATTGGTGGGATGAAATATGCTAATTTTTTGGGACAGGCATTTTGGGTTTTCATGAGCTGTATGCCATAATCATCAGTATTAAAACAATTAAAGACCTGAAATATTTCAGTTGGTGTGCAATGAATCTGAAATATATGAAAGTTTCATTTTTATCATTACATTATGGAAAATAATGACCTTTATCACAATATGCTAATTTTTTTAGAAGGACCTGTATATGAATAGACATAACCTTAGTAAAAGTACACAGTATACTGTGTACATGACCTTAGTAAAAGGACACAGTATAGTGTGTACATGACCTTAGGAAAAGTACACAGTATACGGTGTACATGACCTTAGGAAAAGTACACAGTATACTGCGTACATGACCTTAGTAAAAGTACACAGTATACTGCGTACATGACCTTAGTAAAAGTACACAGTATACTGCGTACATGACCTTAGTAAAAGTACACAGTAAACTGTGTACATGACCTAAGTAAAAGTACACAGTAAACTGTGTACATGACCTTAGTAAAAGTACACAGTATACTGTGTACATGACCTTAGTAAAAGTACACAGTATACTGCGTACATGACCTTAGTAAAAGTACACAGTATACTGCGTACATGACCTTAGTAAAAGTACAGTATACTGTGTAGATGACCTTAGTAAAAGTACACAGTTTAGTGTGTACATGACCTTAGTAAAAGTACACAGCACAGTGTGGTATTATTAGGGAATTTTGTTCAAAGGCTATGGATGTTTTTTATTACTATGGCTGAGAATACTCTGCCCATGAACCATATGTTTGTGTTAGCAGAGCTGGATGAGGTGAGGGTGAGGCTGCTACGTGCAGTTGTCACTTCAAGGACGTCTCCGTCTGTGAGCTCGGCTGAACTGATGAGTAAAAAACAAGCTGCACACATGGCTCGAGGCAGATTCTTGTGACTAGTCTTCAGGTGTGTACTTCCTGTATATCTGTGTAAACTTCCTGTATATCTGTGTAACCTGTCCTAAAAATCTGACCTTGCAAGTACAAACCGGATTCCAAAAAAGTTGGGACACTAAACAAATTGTGAATAAAAACTGAATGCAATGATGTGGAGGTGCCAACTTCTAATATTTTATTCAGAATAGAACACAAATCACAGATCAAAAGTTTAAACTGAGAAAATGTATCATTTTAAGGGGAAAATCGTTGGTTACGTACTGTAACCCCAGATTCTATGAATATAGGCGTAGCCAGAGCCCTATAAAGAGAGAGTTGCGACACTCCCATAGACTCCCATAGAAAGAATGGAATGCGGAAGTCACGTGGGTCATGCAGCGGCAAATAGTTCCAAACAGCAGATGTTCAGCATTGAACGTAGATCATTCTCCGTGTATTCTCCGGTAAGTTGATGCAAATGTGACACTTTTTTGCCATTGTGAAGCGTTATCTGACTGTTCTGTACCACAATTTATCAACATTAATACTTCATGTCGCCAGTTTTAGTTAATGAAACATGTTAACTTGCTAGTTGTGTTTTAACTGCAGCTGCTCTGCAACATGACGGTTTAAACGGGTCTATTTCTAATTCAACGTTTTAAAATACCTATTACTGCTTAAATTTTGAAAGGTGATCTTTTTTAAATTTATGGTAATTCCAGTTACTGAACTCAACTAGAAAATTTTTGGTCTTTTTTCCTGAGAGATTCATTCAACCTTTATTTCTACAGGTAAATCCCATTGAGCCTCGAGGACTCATTTACAAGAGAGACCTGATTTCAACAAAGAATGATGACAAAATGACAACAAGATTGACATAATTTAGTTAAAGTTATAGATCATTTGTCAAAGACTGCAGTATAAATTGTGACATTATCATTAAAGAAAAACGTGATTGTGGAGATGAGTCAATTTTTTTCATGTTTTCCAGGTAAACCACAGGAGAATGACTTCATGAACTGAATGTTGCATTCAAAGTATCACAAAGGTACAAGATCTCATTTTCTGTCTTCTATTAATCAATAACAGCTTAATCAAGATGTTTGAACAAGATTACTTTAACACCATAACCTTCACAAAGTTGGTATTTACTGCAGGACTGTAAAATTACATTAGTTTCATATTATTAGTTTAGCGTATGGGTCATGGGTCAAGTTGAGATGAGACTCTTTCAAGACAGAACAAGAAATAATTATTACCAAAGAATTAAAGAATTATTACCAAGATTCAATTATTACCAAGATATCAGCATCAATAAACTGTAGGACAGTAACAAAAAAACTTATTAAACTGTCATGCTTTAAATGCTTTTTATTAATTCTCCAGTTATTATTATTAGTGTATTGTGTGTGTGTGTGTGTGTGTATATATATATATATATATATATTTTTTTTTTTTTTTTCTCTTTTTAATTTTACTCATTGATTGTTGTTGTTAAGCACTTTGATAACAGGTTCTGTTTTAAATGTGCTCTATAAATAAAGTTCACTTGACTATCACAGGTACATTGAGATGGAGCTGGAAGTTATTCTTCATGCCAGTTGTCTTCATCTGATCTTTTGTAAAAATATGTCAGAATTTATTTTCCATTAACATTTTTCTTCGCAGGACTGAGTTAATTTTCTTGTCTGAGTTTCTTCTGTCCTGATTATGTATTTTTTGTGTTCTAATTGTTCCCTCAGGTTTTTCATCTCTGTTCCCTGACTGCCTGTTGATCCTGGATCATCAGATCCTGACATGTCCCCGTCCTCTGAGGACACATTTTCATTTTTCCCTCATCTCACTCGCCTCATTTCTGTTTCTTCCTCAGTCTCTGAAATGACAACGTCACTGTTAGAATGAAGATTATTGTTCAATAAAAAATATGACGTCTTATTTAACACTGTTCGTACCAAAGTTTAATTTAGAACAACATATGTGATCACTGGTCAGGTCACTGGTCAGATCACTGGTCAGGTCACTGGTCAGGTCACTGGTCATGTCACTGGTCAGGTCACTGGTCAGATCACTGGTTAGGTCACTGGTCAGATCACTGGTCAGGTCACTGGTCAGATCACTGGTCAGTGGAAGTTCTGCTCTTCTTCTCATTTGGTTCTGGTCGATGAACAAATGGTTGAACCTCCTTCAGTCTCACACGTCCTCACTGTGTCTCTGTGAACTGTCCTCTCTCTAAATGTGCCTGTAGAGTGACATTAGTTTATTTTCTTGTACATTTCTTTGACAGTTAAACATTTTGAGCCCTGATTGAAAATGTTTGTGCAGATTAAATTTACAGCTCTCACTTTGTGTTGTTGTGATGATGATGGTGCTCCTGTTGACTTGAGATGATGTAATTAATAAACAGTATAAATGGCAGTAAAAGTACTTTATTAAAGCTTGCTTTACATTTTACATATTTTATAATAAAATGTTTGGAAATTTATTTTTGCACAATTAACACTTATTTTGTCATCTGTTATGATTTTAACTAGAAACAGTTTCATTTAAATTAACATTTTAATCAATGAATTACAGTTTTACAATAGTTGTCAGGCTGCTCAAGCACAATCAACTCAGTTATCAGGTACTTGGTTGCCGTAAAAAAATGACAAATACAACAAT